TTGAAGATTTCGGGTTTGGGGTCTGTGGTGAACATTGCGTAGCCTCGGGAGAAGTCTACCATCAGTCCTGCTCCATTACGACCCATGAAATCCATGCCGATCAGGACGGGAACCAAAGCAGACTGTTCAAACCCTGATTGGTAGTACTCAGTAGGATTAGGCAATGTGTACAGCGAGAATCTTCTGGTGGTACCTGAAACTGAGCTCGAGAAGTGAACACGACAGAGAGCTCGACCCCATCTCCCGTTGCCAAACCGAAAGTATGGCCGCGCACCTTGGTCCAGTTCGATCTTCGCATTGCGGTCGTGAGACAACACGGCTGAGATCAGCCCTTGTACAACGGCATCCGGAGCAGCTGAAGCCGTCGCTCCGCTGTCGAACATTCCAACTTGAGGTCGAACCTCAGGCTTGGCAAGTTCGGTGGTAGCGGCCTCGAAGGCGTCGGACAACTCTAGTCCACCAACAAACATGTCGCTGCTGTAGGCATTGACCTGACGAAAACCGGAAGAGTCCTTGCTCTTCCCTTTTCCCTTGCCTTGCTTGCCCTTCCACAAGGCATGTAGATGAAGATCAGACCAGCAGCCCTTCTTGGACTTGCCCTTGCCCTTGCCCTTGTGGGTGTAGTGCACGTCCATGTAGTCGCCGGGGAACTCGTAGTCCGCGAGGAAGGCGCCCTTCTTGCCATAGCCCTTGCCCTTGGAGTATCCGTGAGTGCGTCCAAGGGGGCAGTCGCGGATCATGTGGTTGCCTCCGCAGTTGAAGCACTTCATTGGAGCACCGAAGCCTCGGTCTTTCCTTAGCTGTTGCGTCGCCCGTTGTGCTTCCGTCCACGTCCGCTGCGCCTCCACAGCAAGGCTCTCCGCGATCTTCTCGGCCTTCGCTGCCTCCTTCATTTTCGGATCGTCCTCTTCCGAGGGTTCGGCAACCGCCGGCATGGCCTCGGGATTCCAATCCGAAGCTCCATGACTCCACCAGTGGTCTCCCAGGCCTCCTCACCGTAGTAGCCCTCGTACCAGCCTGGCTCGTTCCACGCCCAGTCGTCGTGGTCCACGTAGAAGGCCTCCGTCTGCTCTGGGACCTGCGCGTCCGCGAAGTGAAGGTGATGAGGAGCTCCACCGTGGCCGCGATGTCCCAAAAGTTGATCATCCCACAGACTCTGTAGCGCGGCTGCCACCACATCGTAGTCCAAGGAGTTCTTCGTGGAGGACAAAATGTCCCTTTTCTCTTCCGCCGACAAACCGGCTGCCTGTAGCAGCCGCCAACCACGGAGCACTCCCATGATGAAGGAGTCGGCCACCGTCATCTCATTCACAGCAGTCTTGGCCGTGGGCGGTGTGCCCACTTGGGGACTGCCGCCAGCAGTCCGTGCTGTCGGCGAAGCATCGGCCACGGAGCGATGGCTCGGTGAAGAACCTGGGGCAGCACCGTGGTAAGCATCACCATCTCCTTCTCGTTCAGGATCTCCCTCAGCAGGTCCTTCTCGGTCGGCGGAATCGTCGTGAGGTGCACCTTCGGCGTCCGGGTCCACGTAACCGTCGTCATAGTTCCACCAGCCCCAGGATCCACTCCAGTCTTCATCATCCCATTCCTCTTCTAAGGATGGCAATCCGAAGTCCCGTTGATCCTGAGTCAAGCCTTCTTTCTCTTCGTGAAGACGAATAATCGCCTCCACGAACTCCTCGTGCACCAAAGTCTCCCTCACCAAGAAGTTGCCGATCGTCTCTGAAGGATTCCTTCTGAAGGAAAAGTACTGCTGGCAGATCGCTGCAGCATTCGGGAGAGATTTCCTCACCAACGGTGAGCTCGCCAGCTTTTGCAGTAGCACTTTCACACCATCCTTGCTATCTAGCACCAATGTCGACCAACTCATCGCCAACAGCCTCGCCGGGCCTGTCAAACGTGACAGAAGCTGAGCTCCGCAGTAGCGACGCTTGTACACTGGCACTGATTGCACCCACCAGGCCACCTCGCGGGTGTACCTGCGCCATGACCTGGCCGCACCGTCCCAGGTCGGGACCACAGCCATAGGAAAACTGAGAAAGGGCAGCAGCGCTGCCGAAAGTAAAACCTGGAGAAAACCCACAAGTGATCGTCACGAGGGGGCGGCCGTTGATCGGGTAGTAGACACCGTTCTGAACAAAGGGATCAAGGGCCTAGCAGCTGGTCTGGAGCACGGCCCTTGGATCGGCACGTGCTCCGCTACCAATGCAGCGGAGGTAGCTGCACTGGGCGTTTGGGCTCTTCTTCAAAGGGGTTCCAGCTGAATCACAATCGTAGGCACGAGCGCACACGCTCTGTTGTTTTATGCGCACAAAGCACACGTAGCAATGGCTCTCGTACGGCACACTAAAAGGGGCCCCTTCATGAGCCTTCACGCATCGGCATATGCTGCTGACAGGATCTCAGACAAGCTATACTTGTTGCACAGTCCGTATACATTTGTAGCATAAATTGGCCCCAAAAACCAGTTGTTGAGGGCTGGCCTAGGGTATGAAACACAAGCCCTGAAGGGGCCCAAGAACGAGAATAGAGTCTCGAATGCGTTCCGTCATGCCTAATATACGGGTCAAGCAAGCTTCAGCAAGGAACCCTAGCATAGATCCTGAACAATGGGATCCTTCTTACCAGGACAACGAAATAACGTACTCCTAGTTGCAAGAAGCCCCATAATAAGTTTTTTCTTTACGATCCATGCAGAATTCCATAAAAGCCGTGGCACAGCAGATGAATTCAAGCCTTTGATTTCACGATAACATCCAAGTAAACTGCATAAATCCTTCAAAAAAACCTACAAACCCTGTGACTGTAAACCCCTAGCCAAACACCTATGTTCTCGTCCTGGCGTCTGTCCAGGCTTGCACGGAGGGAGGCGGCCCATGCTGCGCAGGCATCCGGGCTTATAGGGCACAGCAAGGGGTGCTATGATATATATATATATATAATACAAAATAATATATATACATATATATATATACACACATATTAATATATATATATATATACATATACATATACATAAATATATACAAATATATATAAATATATATATATAAATATATATATATATATGTATAAGTATATAAATATATAAAAATATAAATAAATAAATAAATAAATAACTATATATATATATATATAAATAAGTATAACTATATATGTATAAATATATATATATATATGTATAAATAAATAAATAAATAAATAAATATGAATATATATATATATATATATAAATATATATATATATAAATATAAATATAAGGGTTCTGCATGGGTCCAACGCGGGTTCTAGAGGGGTCCTAGGGGCTCCATCAGGGTTGTACAGAATTGTTTGAGCGGGGGGTATTATGAGGTATCTACTTGGAGGTTCATGGATAGTTAAAAGTAGGGTCATAAGCAGGATAAGTATAGTTATCACCCATCTTATGGGACTTGTAACCCCATTTATATCTACCCATGAACCTCCAAGTAGACATCAAACACTAAACCCCCAATCCTTCCTTTAAAGGAACCCATTAAGGGTTACTTCTCACCCATGCACCTCCAAGTAGAGGGTTCCAGCATTGCTTATGGGGCCTTAGAAGGGTTCTCTCAGGGTTTTGCTGGATTTCGGAGGCTTGCCGTTGGGGTCTTAGGGCAGGGTTTAGGGTTTAGGGTTCACAAAATTCATCGTTTCGGCTGCTTGTATGCTGCTTTGTCCTGCCCTGAACGTTAAAATCCTGAGTTCTCGAGCTGTCGACTTCGAAGCCGTGAGCCGCGCAACCGTTTCCATTACCTGATTAATGTAGAGGCCTCGATAATTAGATGAGGGCTTTGGGGGCCCATTATACTAAAGCTTTAAATAAGGAGCCCCCAAAATAGATCAAAATAGTCTTGGTGGTTATTTAGGCCCCTATATTACCCGCAAGCCAGCGGATGCACAGGTGGATGCCGACCTCAGCGCCGTTTCACCAGCCAAAGGGCAGGCTGGGTGTCCAGACTTGGTCGACTCTTTGTCGCTTCGGCCTTTCAGTGAGGCTTGGTTAGAGGCCGGTTAGCGAAGCTAATATAGGGACCTCAATAACGACATATACTGTTTGGCGGCTCGTTATTGTATTTATGGTATAATATACCCCCAAACCCTATTGAGGCCCCTATATTAGGGTGCTTCAGGTTGTTGTTTCATGGTTCTTGCGCTAGGGTATGTGGTGTGCTCGGGGTTTGCGATCTCGGCTTCGGAGCTTCCGTGATTGTTATATTTAGGGTTTGGGGTCTAGTTTAGGGTTTAGGGGTTTTTCCCCAGTCACGCCTGTTAGTCGCTTGCAGAGTCCAACTGCTCACCTCACCTAAACTGTAAACCCAATTTTTTTTTAAGAATACTAAGCCGCTTTTTCATGACAGCTTTCATGGTCGTCACAGTGTTTAGTTTTGCTGGGCCACGGCTGGAGACAGTCTCACGAGACTCACGAGAAGTGCCTGAACCGCTCGTAAATCCATGAGCCTAAATCAATACGAGGGCTTTGATTCCTAGATGCAACCCCTGAATCAGTTTGTTTTCTGCTTCGTGAACGAAAGCTTCTACATGAACTTTGTGTAAACTTAGTAAAGCCCCAGGTCAAGTGCGCAATGTGGAAGCCTAAGTAATGCCAACGGGGCCCCTCTGATAGGTATACTATGAGGGAGCCCAAAACTCTCCTCTAATCATTACGTAAAGTCATTAGAATCATACTATAAAGAAGCCCCAAACCCTATTCTACAGAAAGATCAAGGCCCTTACACTAAGCCCTCATCGAACCCTTATTGAATCACTTAAAAATCCCTCAAAGGACCCTAAACCCTAAAACTAAACCCCAAAGGACCCTAAACCCTAAACCCGACATCCCAAAGGACCCTAAACCCTAAACCCCAAAGGACCCTAAACCCGACGGTACCACGCCACGAGCCTGGAATCCTCGAACCCCGAGCTGGAAGGCGGGCGCTTTGCTGGAGGCGCGATGTTGAAATCTGCACCGCGCTTTCTTAAACCCCCAAGATAGTATTATTAGTAGTTGCTATAGGAGCAATATAGGGGCCTTAGTAATCAGACTAGGGTTCTGGGGCATATGATACTATATTTATAATGAGGAGTCCCACAACAGTATTGGTCATTTCTTGGGGCCCCTATAGTATAGATATGCAAATCTGCTTGTGCTGGGCGGGTGCGTGGCAGTTGAGCATCAACAGCTCAGGAGCTGAGCACAGGCTAACGATTTCGAACATGTCGTCCTGTTCAGGCTTTAGATTTTGGGAACATCTGACGTTGGGGGAAGGGGGTGTTCCAAACTGAATTGGCAAAGTGACGTTTCGCACAAGCCTCATGTGCTGACATGCACAGTTGTTGGTTACGTGACGCGGGCCACTGCACCTATTTAATTTTAAAGCCCCTATTGCCTACACCATGTAATGCTGGCTTGCCACGGCTCGTGGACAGGCTGGCGCAGGCCGCGCACTGAGAAGCAGGGGGGTAAAGGAACTTAAGGCGGTGCTGCTTAGCGATGGAAGTCTTATTTGGGTTGAGATGTGTTATTGCGGTAAGAACGAAAGCCAGCAAGCAGCAGTAGCGGAGCATGATCTGTAGCCATGAGCAGTGTGGCAGTAGCTGTCGTCGTGATTGAGGAAGAAGCAATACTACGCGGCACGGACAGAGATTAATTAAGGTCCGAATTCCAGACCCCTACACTTCCGACCCTTCAAGCCCCCTTGGAGGTTCATGGGTAGTTATAAGTGGGCTTATAGGGTAACTATAGCTATAAACTATATTAAGGGACTTATATCTCCACTTATAACTGCCCATGAACCTCCAAGCCAGGACCTATAATCTTACCACAAGATTTGTGTAGCCGCTTTCTGTCCTAGCAGTGTTCGGAGCCCCACTACCGCCCCAACTACTCAGCTGGTCGGCGAAAACTGTGCAAAACCTCAATGCTGAAGGTTGTGTTTTGCGGGGGTCGACCGCCTGACAACCTGCGAAACCCCACACCCTAAACCTCATAGACGTTATTTCAGCTGCGGTTTGAGGGAAACCACCAAGGAGCTTGAAAAAGGAGGGGTTGGGGTATTCAAGTCAGTCCCTTACTCTGACAAACCGCGCACTCCCCCAAACTGCAGCAATGGGGGCCGGATTTAGGTCTGTAAACCCTAAACCCGAAACCCAAAGCCCTATGAACCCTAAACCATGGAGTCTAATTTCGGGATCCTGCATAAGAAAGATGCGGCTATCTAAGAGTCGGCTTTAAATCAAAGATGTTGATCCCCACGCCCTGAGCGTCAGACCCTGTATAAGCTCGAAGCCCAATTTCGGGATCCTGCATAAGAAAGATGCGGCTATCTAAGAGTCGGCTTTAAATCAAAGATGTTGATCCCCACGCCCTGAGCGTCAGACCCTGTATAAGCTCGAAGCCCTAAAGTCTACGTCTAAGACCCCTAGAAGCTAAACGCTAACCTCTACACTCTACCTTAACCTACCAAAGCCTACTTTTTTGGTAGGGTCCCTAGCAATTCCATTTCTGGATATACTTATAGAGCCTACAAAAAACCAGGTTTTGGTAGGTT